TGAAGCCTTCGGCATAGCCGAAGACAGCGCTGCTCTTACTTGTTTCCTTATGGTTTAGAGCTGACTAATTCTAGTGCCGATCTTTTTAACTGATATGTAATTATCAAACCTATGAAGTTGTGATCGAAAAATGTATCTTTAGCTAAAGAAAACGCAGTACATTACATTGCAGGTAATCGCTACAGAGCCCCACATTTCCTCCGGCCGTTGAGCTCTCGCGCATGTTAATCCGACCCTGTACCATACATTCATATAAAGCACATATACATACATATATGCGCACATACATATTACATGGTGGTTTTTATATAAATTGAACTTTTGCAATGCTGTTCTCTGCGCTTTTGCCTCGGTCTTAATATAGCTTAGTTTTTGTTTGTGTATCGATGAATTTTGCATAATAAATTCTTTATACTCAGCATATCTATGTTGTCTTTTTCTCATCTTCGAAGGAAGCCTTTCTACATTAACATGTTTTTTTTTATTGTGTCGTCACTGCATTATGCATAATCGAATGATACGTAAAATTTGCATCTATCTGCATTTTCATTAATAAGTAATGTATTTAAGCAGTAAATAAATGAGAAAATAGAGATAAAACTAGAGCAAATATTCCTTCTACGTTGCAAATGCATTTATATAAGTATGTGCATACATATGTACACTGGTATCTTTGTATTTACAGTCAATTATGCCTATCCTTTTTGATAGAAATATGTAAGCTGGTATTATGCCTAAAATCAGTGAAAATATGATATTTTTTAGTGCCCAACCAAACTCAGATACCGATCTGAACGTTCGGTTATCTTTTTAGATTTGAGCAAAACCGAACTCGTCCGAGGAGTTTTAACAAAATTTTTGGTTACAAGCAATTTTTAAGTAACCGACTTGAATGCTTATATACAAATTTAGAAGTACGGTTAGTTTTTTTATGATCCAAAAGAATTATTATAAACGCTTCACCTGGCCCAATGTTATCCGGTAACACATGTGTAAAGCAAATATTCCGATGAATTGATAACCTTCTTTTGGGCTATAAATTTTTGGTGATGGTAATTTAAAACGGGACATACATTTTTAGCCGTTTTTAAATGTACGTTAATCGATCATAATAATTAAAATATTCGAAAAAGATATGATTGTTTGGCCATTCACAAGCTGGACGTAAAATTTGTGCAACTTTAAATTAGACATAAATTTTTCGTAATTTCACAATTAATCATATCTTTTAATTAGAAACTGAGACATACATTTTTGGTCATTGGTCATTATTATAATTTGACTGGGAGATTATTTCTCTGAAACAAAATATTAGGTACAGGGTGCCGTTTGCAGACAAATGAAGATAGCTTGCGAATTCTTGTATATACAATTATAGGTTTTATAAATACCCTAACAACGACATATCACATAAAAAAATTATATAAAAAAACGATTTAGCAGTTTTCACAGGGTGTCGAAGAAAAATATTTGCGCCCCTGAAATACGCTCCTAGTGAGTGTTTAAAATCGCTTGGAACAAATTAAACTTTTTTCGGTCCATACATCGTGATACGGTCGAATGTTAGTATATTTAAAAATTAGATATAAATTAAAAAAAAAAATTGTTTGTCTTTTAAAAACAAAATAGGAATATTTCAACTTATATTTTTAGTCACATAAAAGGTAACATACAATTTGTGTAAGTTTTAACTAGACCACATTTTTTAGTCATTTTAAAACTGGGCATAGATTTCAGACAATTAAAAATCGGACGGGGTTTTTTTTCCAACACCTAGAACCTAGATTATAACAAGTAATTTTTAGCAAAAAAAAAACCGACTTCAACTCTCATATAAAAAATATATATATATATATATATCTCATGATCCGCTTATCGGATCTTAACCAGATTAGTATGGGACCACCTCTGAGACACTACCTTTCCGATGCAAAATNGAAATCGGTTGACGTGGTCCAAAGTTATGCGGTAACATACATAAAAAAAAAAAAATATATACTCCGACGAACTGATAACCTCCTCCTTTTTTGGAAGTCGGTTAAAAAGAACAAAATATTTTCGAAACATATTTTATTATTTTTTATTTAAATATATTTTTTCTTTTTCTAATTAAATTTCTAGATTTTATTGTCTTGAAAAGAAAAATATATTAATTCGATTTGTTTTATGTAAGTTTCTTTTAACTTTTTGATTTTGTTTCAAACAAAAAAAATTTATTTTTTGAATCTTATACAATTTTCTGGAACTTATTTTATTTTTATTCTGTTTTAATTTGCTCTTTTGCTTTTAGCTTAATTTTCTTTTTATTTTTTGACTTTATTGTCCTAAAAAGAAAATTTTTCTTTTTTATATTTTATGTAATTTTCAAGTGCTAAAAAAATGTTTCTTAGCTTACTTCGATTCTCTACAAAAAAGGCCCATACACCAAGTTATTTAGGACTAATACTCTCGAAGATACATACAATTTTATTAAAAAAAAATAAAAATATGAATAATGTATTTATGAATTTTTAATTTTTTGAGCAATTGAACTTTGATGAACTTGGGCTAGATATTGACCAAAAATTTGTCATCTTTCACACTGATTAATTTTAGAGCATAATGAACCATATTTTTGGCTATTACCAACCAAAATTCTAAAAAAGCAGATTTTCGGCCCACGCTAGTATGCAGATGTAGATAAATACAAAATTGTTTTTTCCCCTTTATTTATTTATTTTTTATTTTTTTGTATGCAGTTACGCATATCAAAAACGCTTATGCTCACCAGCATACAAAGTGCAATTCCGCACACGTTTCAATGGCAATGTGCGGAACTGAATTATGCAACTTCTACCAATTTTGGAGGGTATATAAGTACTGCGCGTTAACTGACGATGACATTACCAAAATTCACATTCTTCTCTAAACGCTTCACTTAGCAACCAAACAACACAAAAATGACCAAATTAGTAAGCTAAATACAATCCTAAATACTAATTATTATTATTTGCTTTTACTTTTAAACCTGTCTTCTATTACAGATCATTGTCCTGTGCGCTTTCATTGCCTGCGCTGCCGCTAAGCCACAACTATTTGCTGCCCCATTGGCTGCTGCTCCTGTTGTTGCCTCTTATCCAGCCGCCTACGCTGCTGCGCCTATCGCCTACGCTAATGCACATTTGGATGCCGCTTACTCCAGCAGCTCGATTGATGTGAGACAAAACTATGGCGCTGCTTTTGTGCCCGCTAGCTATGC